AAGAATCATCACCTCTGTTTGTATCCTATTGGCCAGAATTTTATCACATAGCATGCTAACCTGCAAGAGATTCTGGGAAATGTAGTCTTTTGCCAACAAAGGCTAACCTGCTATTTTTGTCATAGCCCCTGACTTGCCTGGGCACCCACATTTCCAAATGAGCCATAGTGTCTTCATTTGCAGACTTATTCATTCATCTGTGTAATATACAAAGAGGAGTGTGTGTGTGTGTGTGCGCGTATGTAAGAGGTATGTGATATAAAGAAAGATTTTTGAACCAGTTGGTTGCTAATGGGGCCTCCTACTCGCTGGGCCATAAGTGAGTGGGCCACTTGCTCATCACTCTATCCCTAGCACACAAGTCAGGGTCTGGTTCATGGGAGCCCTGTTACCGGCTGCCTGTGGGTGATGAATGGATGCCCCTTCTGGCTTTTATATTGGGTAATAAAATTTCTCCTCACTCAAGGGCTTACGTTCTTTTCTTTTCTAGGCTCCTCCCTTCACCTCCGCATGCCAAGCCTTTCTGAGTCTATAAAGTAAAATGTGCTCTGAACCAGAATCTTAAGAGTGGGGGAAAAATTAAATGAAAGTGCGTCAAAACAAGTTAACCACAAGAAATGACTTTTCAGGATAATTAGGTGTCAGCGCGGGACACCAACTCCAGAACATAAGATTTTAACTGCCACATTCTCCTCTCAGTACCACCACTATGTAGGGCAGAGGGCGTGCTGGACCTGGCTTGAGCCCCTGCTGGGCCCTCCACCATCTCAACAGGCAAGACTCTCCCCACACAGGTCAGGGAGAACAGGATCTAATTCGAGCTCTGTCGCTGACCTGCTAGAGCAGTGGTTCTCAACCTTCCTAATGCCACAATATATTTTCATTCTTAAAAAGGGGTCGTGACCCACAGGTTGAGAACTGCTGTGCTAGAGTAATCCTAGGGAAAGCTATGCCTCTCTGAGCCCCAGTTTCTTCATCTGTAAAAAAGTTGTTCATAATAGGATATACCTCAAATCATCTGTAAAATTCAGATAATAATGGTACCTATCTCACAGGCAGAGGTTCCTGAACTTTCTCAGTTCACAGCACTCTTAGCATCTTAGTAATTTTTTCGCAGTGTGCCAGAGTTACCAGCCACTGCTAACCCAAACAGCCATTTCATGCAGAGCACTGCTGGTCAGGCCCTAACAAGGTGGGATGAGCCTACGTGCCAACATCTGGAGATTGTTTATTCACTTCCAAGGCCTACTGTCATCGATAAGTTGGGGAACTGGACTCTATGGTTCCAGTCAAGGACCCAGGGCACTCTGTGCATCCAGTGAAGTATTAACTAACTATAAATTTAGTCTAGAATAAAAATGCTGGATATAACACACTTTATGTATGAAGCTATAACCACTTTTAAATGAAGATATAACTACTTTAAGAAGGTACTGTGTGACTTTGTAACCTATGAGGGGGAACCTGTTTGACCTGTGATGACCAATAACAGTGCTGATGTTTACTTCTACTCTGAGAATAAAATGTAACAAATGGAAAGAGGGGGCAGAGAAGTTCTTTGGGGAGATAACCCCACTGCTCTCTGGAATTACTGGTTTTCCTACAAATAAAAGTGAACCTGTTGATCTCTTATCTGCTTCTACATTGATTGACTCAGGTGATAGGCAGATGGACCTCTTGGTCGGGCAACACCAGGTCAAAGAAATACCTAACAGATGTTTATTAAATAGTAGCTTCAAACAACTTAATGGTAGTTGTTGGCATAGCTTCCAACAGATGTCATTCTATTTCGCTCAAATGTTAAATATTTTGTGATGCCTCTGTGAGTTTTCTACAGTGCCGAAGGTGCCTGAACACACAGTTTGGGAATTGCAACCATAAGGTTTTAAAGGTTATGTATTATCAAGTAACTCACTTTGCCCAATGGCACAGGACAAAAGTGACATTGTGACAGTTCTGAGTCTAAGCCTTAGGAGGCGTGACATGGTTCTGCTTGCTGTCTTATCCTTTGCCATTGCCAAGAGAAGAGCATTCCCCAGAAGCATCATGATTCCAGGAGGAGGACAAGAGATTTGCAGAGCAAACTCAGACCAGCAGATCTACAGCTCCAGGCAACAATTCTAGCCAACACACATACTCATGAGCAAAAATAAATGGTCATTGTTGGAAAGGATGGAGTTGGGATGAAATTTGTTATGCAGGATTCTTGTGATAATCCAACCTCTCTATCTGTGGCAAATACAAACTCTCCAAGAGCAGACCTGTTTGGGTCATTTGGTTACTACTCAGAAGCCAGCTCCATGAATACCAGTCACCCACAAGCCAGGGATCTCCCTCCTGTTTGGTCTGTAGATGGCTGTCTTGGACAAGGGTGCTAATCTCTGTTCCAGGAAGTTGTCCCATGATTTCAAGGCTATGTGACACAAAGCCTGATGACCTACCTAGAAGGAATAATTTCTGGCTCCTTGTGTTCAGAATGGGTGTGAATGTGGCAGGCAGGAATGTCTCAGATCCTCTTTGGTCCTGAAGAGCAATAACTAAACTAGGAGAAATTGCACATACAATTGTGCCTGAATGTGGCAGTCACAATGCATCTCAGGCTGCAAGAAACCCTAGAATGCAAGAAATGTGGCATTCCTTGCAACTCACTTCGGTAACTATTTTTGTTGTTGTTGCAGTTTGGCTGGGGCCGGGCTTAAACCCGCCACTCTCAGTATATGGGGCTGGCTCCTTAGCCACTGAGCCACAGGCACCACCCCATTTTGGTAACTTTTTTGAGCTTAATTATGCCTAAAAGGGAAAAGATGAGGCACAAGTTCTCATAAAAAGTTTGGTAGAGCTGGGGTGAAAACCCAAGGGTCCTGCCTGCCGAGATAGTGTCCTTTTTCCTGCACAGATGGTCTACCCTTTAGAAAGAGCCCCAGGTCCCACCTCCAAGCCAGTGGAACCCCTTCTCCAGTCTCCCTGATCATCAGGCTATGCTTTTGCACTTCACTGACTGAATACCCACTGCTCATAAGAACTCCAAGCAACATCTTTCTCCTACTGAGTCTCAACCTGCCTCCTATACCCACTGTCCTAGCTCTGTCTTCTGGGGCTATGATAAAATTTACAATCTTTTTAATTTGTGAATATTGTAATTTTTACTTCTATAAATTCTATTGAATTCTTATGCCTTTTTAAAGTGTCTTTTTTGTCTGACTTGATTCTTTTTTGTATGTCTTTAATTCTTTACAGAATATTTTAAAAATTATCTTCATCTGAAGTTCTTGGGGAAAGAGGGGTCTAGTTCTGCTGTGGATAGTGCCTGTTGGTTCTCACTCATGGTGGATAGTTTCCTTGTGTGTTTTGTCTTTTGGGATTATGAGTTCATCTTCAGCGGAATTTTATCTGTGGATATTTTATATAGCCAGAGTTGGGGGCAAGTTCCTCTAAAATAGGCCAAATTGGTTTTACCAGCCATCTCAGACCTTTATCTGGGATCACTGTGCTAATTCTTAGTTTGCAGTTCCTAGTTTGTGTAGATAGAACAGATCTACATTTTTAAAAACCTATGCGAGACTAGGTCCTATTTCTTTTCATCATAGCATTAATTTGATTATTATTTCCATTCACTATTACTAGGATGTTACCTCCAAGAAAGTAGGGTCTTCATTTCTCTGATTTTGGGTGGTATCCCTGGTACCTGGAGCAGAAGTTGGCAGACAGTAAACTCTCAATAAATATTTAATGCAAGCAAGTGTTAAAGAATACTCACTTCACATTGTGATGTGAAGAATAAATGTGTAGCAATTAGGATTGAGTTTTCCTGCAAGTAGCACGGTGCCCAATAAAAAAATGGAGTCTGTTGTCTCACATAATAGGCAGATGCTGTTTCTGTAACTCAATGATTTTAAATGTCTCTGCAGTTTTTTTGTTTGTTTGTTTGTTTTGTTTCTTGTTTTTTTGGCTTTTGTCTTGTGGTTGCAAGATGGCTACTGCAGCTCCAGGCGTGACACCCACATTCAAGGCAGAGGAAGAAGGAGAAAGAAGGAACAAAAGAGAAGCATCAGTGGCATTTTTATTTTTATTTGGAAGATTAAATTTTTTTGGAAGCCTTACAGCTAATTTCTGCTTGGATATCATTTGCTAGAAACGGGTCACATAGGTATTCCAGACGCAAGGGAACTTGGAAAATTAACACTTCCCTTTATTTAAGTTTATTATAGATAAGTGAATAAGGAAGGGAGTTGGGGAGACAGGTGGGGTCTGTGTCCCAAATGAGATATATAAAACACAAAACAAGCCCTCAAAAAGGAGCACCTGTTATCATAATATAAATATATGTATTTTTATCATTTTAAAGCTTTATGGTCTCTGTGATCCTTTTGGCATCACATCTTTTTGCCTTCTGGAACCATCAGACACCGAGGTAACTGGACCCTGAATGGTCTCCCTACCTTGTTCTGTTCAAAGTGCTAAAGCCCTTTAAAAAAAAAAAAAAAGCCAAATTACATTTTCCAATGTGAGCTACTTCCTGCTCTCATTAACTCCATCTTCAATGATTTGGCCAGAACTTGCTGCCACGCTGACAGAGGTGGAAGACTACACAAGCCAAAGATCCCTCAGGCCCATAACCAGGTCAGTGTCAAGGTTGCTCCCAAGGACACTGAGATGAAAACAGCAGACGAGCCAACGCCGAATCTTGGACAGACCCTGGAGTGGCTGAGAAAGGAGCTGGTAAGGCTTTGCATTTCTGTTTCCCTGATGTCCGTACTACACATTTACCAAGATTCTCTGGTCTTCCCTCCCAGGTGCCCCGCAGGGTAGCGCATGGGCCAGTCCCCCTTTGGGACCAGCCACACAGAGCACAACTGTGATCTCAAGTGTGGGGATAAGTAGGTCATGGCCTACATGGGAGGCACTGGGTGTGGTGCTTGCCAGACTGGTTTCAGAATTACACTGAGTTCTAGGTATGTGCCCAGCTCTGCTGCTGCGTGGCCCCTCATGGTGGCATTATCACTTGAGCCTCAGTTTTCTTATCACAAGATGGGGATGACAATAGTACCAACACTGCAGGGGTTATTGCAAGGATTCAGGGAAGAGATGCTCAAACTCAGTACGTGCTTGGCGCATTGATATTGACTACAATAATCCTGACACGGGGGGACCTGGTGTATACCCATTGTCTTAGCCTGGGTCCTCTAGAAAGCAGAGACTCAAACAAGGAACTAACAATTTATTTGGAGGTACAAGTCCAGAGTGTTGGGAAGAGGGAAACGAGGAGTTGCAGCAAAGGCCAATGTTACACCAGAGAATGACGCCAGCCATTGTGTCACCCAGGGACCCTTTAGGAAGTCTCTTGGTAGCTGGTTTACCTGCTGAAGGACGTTTCTGCACAGGTGGAAGGAGGTCTTGAGAGAGAGAAAACAGAGAGGACATTTACCTGCCTGGTGGGCTGCTGCCTCTCTTCCCCACTGGTAAAGGTCTACCCCATGGGGCACTCACTTGCCCCAACACATGTGTTATGTTACTTGGTCCCTTAGTGGCTGTTTAGGAAGCTATGCCTTTTGCCTTTTAAGTCCAAAAATAGAGGGGAGCCCCAGAGTGCGTGGGGACAGCTGCCAGGAGAGAGAGGGAGGCAGTTCAGGGAACTCAGGAGAGCTTCATTTCCCAGTATGCCCACTCCTCATTCTGCAGAGAGACAGGATTGTCTGGAAATGACCTCTCTGGGTTGCCAGGCAACAGGCCAGCTAGGCCCCAACCCTGTGTTCACCCCAGAAGGAGGGGCTGACCCAACAGGGTTTCTCAGGGGACAAGAAGATTCCAGCAGCAGGAGCTGCAGCCTCTCACAGTCCGCAGGCAGCCAGAGCTGGGCAGCTGCCTTCCTCAGTCCCCTAAGTGCCCTGCTTGGTGCCTGAACCCTAAGTACCTATTTCCTCACTGAAGTTCCTCTCTGTCGCCCATGAGGAGGGACAGTGATGGGGTGTCCCCACTGACAGCACAGCCTCCCTGGGCCAGCCACCTCCTCCTCCTTGAGGCCAAGACATACAGAGCCTCAAATCTCTTCCAGCTGAGCCTGACTCATAAATTTCCCATTCGAGCTTGTTTTTACCCTGATTGCATGAATTATGACTCCATAAGGGCCCTTCTGGAACCCACCCAAGAAGCCTCACTTGGCTGTCCTCAGGGAAGGACCAGCACTGGACAGTCGCTCGCTTCATGCAGCAGTGGGAACAAATGGGGAAGGGACAGAAGTCTGATGTCTCCCTCTTTTCCTGGGATCTCATGAGTCCCAAAGTCCTAGTGGGGTCTGTAAGAAAGGAAGAGCTGCGGCCACCTTGTGACTAGAAAGCAAACCAGTCTGATGCCTGGGCACCTGTCCTTCAGGCAGGACGGAGCTTCACACCGTGGGGGGTGGGCAAACTGAGCCCAGAGCCTACCTCACCTCAGGGCCTCTTGCTTTGTGAGAAAAGATACTTCCCTACCCTCGAAGGGGCTCAGTCAGGGTTTCTTATCCTCAGAACCAAAGGCCTTGGGTCCCCCCCAGCCCTTAACATCACCTCAGTGCTGGGCACAACTTTGTGGTCTCACAAGGTCATCCCCGGAGCTGGTGCTGAAGGTTGGACAAAAAATGTTGTGGGGGAGGAAAACCCTAAGATTGAGAAAGCACAGGCTGAATGTTTTCCGAGGAATTAGGAAAGGATGGCCCCAGGACCACTGGCTTTGCAGCCTGAGGAGTCCGTGTCCTCCAGGGAGCAGGCTACACCGTCACCTTCACCTCCGAGTTTTCTCTCTCTAGCTACCTACTCTCCAGACAGTGTTACCACTGATGCTTGCGTGGAGGATGCTGGCTTGGTTTGCTCATTTGTAACATCATCACTTCATCACAAAACTATTTTTTAATGGAAAAAATAATGCTAATAAGTGTCTCTTAGAAAGAGAAGGATTGAGAATCTGTACATCTGATCATGTGCTATGCCTTGACCAGCTTTGGAAGGGAAAACTGGGAGCCATTTGCAGTGGGTTCCTCAGGGGGTGACCCTTGAGTTGTAGGGTGGAGTGGGGTGGGTGGGGGAGCCTTTGAACTATATGCTCTTCTGGAGCATATACATTTGTGTATTAACCAGTCAGAAAATGCAATTCGAACATTTTGAAAGAGCAAACGAAAGAGGGAAAGTGTATGGAAAACAAGCCCTAGTGGAAAATGGGAGAAAGAATGGAGATGGGTGAGTGGCGATCGGGGAGTTCTAATGCAGCGGTTTTCAAATTTTTTTATTAAGGACACCAAAAAGCTTTTGTTTATGTGAATTATATCTATCCATATGGACTGAATTAGAAACCAAAGCTGAGAAATTCTTAGTACTTTTTATGGATGCTTTTGAAAATAATGATAAACTCATTACATGTTAATAAAACATTACTTATTTACAATAACTGCATTTTTCAAAGCAAATATTTAGTGAGAAGAGCAGCCCTGTTTTACATTATTGGAAATTGCTTTAATGTCTGACTTAATAGAACACAGCTGGATTCTTATATCTGCTTCTCCTGCAATCTGTTGAGATACTACATGTCATTAGCTTCTGGAAAACTCCACTGTGTGCTCATAAGAAAATGGAAGTAAAAAAAAGACAACAATATCTCAGTATAGTAAAGAAAGCAGTCTTGACCTTGCTGATCCCCTGAAAGGGTTTTCCAATAGGCTAATTCAACCAGTCATTGTAAACTCCTGGAAAGGTGGGCAATTTGCTTTCTACTTTGCAATGAAGAAGTGGAGGCTTTGCTGCATATGCCTCTGGCAAGGCTGTGCAACTCTCAAGAGGGCTTGTCTCTGATGAGACAGTGGTGGGAAAGGGCTTGTCTCTGAGGAGACCGTGGGGGAGCATCAGTGCTCTGCACAGCCTCTCACAACTCTTCTCTCCTAGTCTGAGATGCAGATCCAAGACCAGAGGCTCCTGCTCACGCTGAGACATCTTCACAGTGTCCTGGAGGAGCTGCGAGTGGACAGTGCCCAGTGGGAGGATGCCAGGTCCAGTGGAGGAGCCTCCCCTATCAGGACTCGGGCAGGCTCTGAAGGCAGGCGCTGCCAGCATGTTTCCTCAAGGGGGCTGATTCAGCTCCTCCGAGGGGAAGACTGCAGACGAAGCTCCCTCCCTTAATGGCTATAGGTGACACTGACATTAAACCTTCGTACCACTAGTCTAATCTTTGATTGTGATATTTTGGGGGGACAGCATCAGGCTCTGGGTTCACCTCTGCCTTCATCTACTGTGTGTCTCTGGCTCCATCACTCAGGTTCTCTGTGGCCCTGGTTCCTTTTCTGTCCCTTAGGGTTTCTTTGGGAGGCACAAATAAGGTACTGGATATGAGAACACAAATGTGTTACATGGTTCTGGCAAGCACCATGGCAGTAATCTGAATCTTGGGAATTTCTTACAAGGTGATGGTTAAAATGTCTTTAAGAAGGAGCTAAATGTGAAATATTGGTTACCAGGTGTTGTTCGTGGTGAAAAATTGAAACGTAGTGTGATGACTTTGTGTCTGTTTTCTTGCCTTTCAAGCTAGGTTTCCCTTTCCCCTTAATCTGCTAACAATAGGCCTATTGCCAGTCAGACTATAGGAATGGATAGATTTCCAGGCCTGGCCAATTATAGAATTTATAGTTGCCCTAAAAACATGATTGGCTTATTTGAGGAGGCATGTGACTCAACAGAGCCAATCACAATCCTTCCCTGTGATTGCTATCTGGATGCTCTTTCTTTTCTTTCTTTCTTTTTTTTCTTTTTTGAGACAGAGTTTCACTTTATCGCCCCTTGGTAGAGTGCTGTGCTGTCACAGCTCATAGCAACTTCCAACTCTTGGGCTTAGGCGATTCTCTTGCCTCAGCCTCCGGATTAGCAGAGTAGCTGGGACACAGGTGCCTGCCGCAGCACCTGGCTATTTTTTGTTGCAGTTTAGCTGGGGCAGAACTCACCACCCTCGGTATATGGGGCCAGTGCCCTACCCACTGAGCCACAGGCACTGCCCTGGATGCTCTTTCTCTTACAGTTACAAAGCTGAGAGTGCCAGTGACCATGTTTCCTGTCAAGGAAAGACCTGTCTTTAGTAGGAAGGAAAGAGGCTAATCTTCAAAGAGAAGAAGAGAGAGAGCCACACAAGGGATGGACAGAGAGGAAGAGTGCAGCTTTTTTTAGTCCCTGGTTGTAGGCTCTAGTTTTGTGAGTTACCTCTGCATTCTTTCCAGCAAGGAAGCCAGTAAATTCCACACCACCACCCACAGTCACATACACCAATTTGTTTTGTTTAAACTGATTTGAGTAGGGTTTCCCTCATTTGCAACCAAAATGGTCCCGGGGCATACAATCCAGATGTTCAAAGAAGCAGAGGAATCATTAAGAAAATGGCATTTCATTCACTCAGGGTTTGTGACAACCGTAACGGCAGGCAACAGGCTCATGACACAGCAGAGACGTTCAATTGTACGGAGTGCTACAGACATAACTGAAAAACTACATCTGCCTATAAGAAAAACTAAAACAAAAAAAAGTGAAAATAAAAAGCGATGGTGTTTAGATGGTCTGATTATTGGCAGGCCTTTTTCTTTCTTTCTTTTTTAAAAATCTGCCTGCACGTTGTTAGAATATTGGTTTGAGCTGGGCACGGTGGTTCACCTGTAATCCTAGCCTGCTGGGAAGCTGAGGTGGAAGGATTGCTTGAGTCCAGGAGTTAAAAATCAGCCTGAGCAAGAGTAAGACCCTGTCTCTATATAAAAAATAAAATAAAATTAGGCAGGCATGACGGTGCACTCCTGTTGTCCCTGCTACTTGGGAGGTTGAGGCAGCAGCATTGCTTGAGCCCAGGAGTTGGAGGGTTGCAGTGAGCTATGATGATGCCACTGCTCTCTAAGGCAGGTGACAAAGCAAGACACTGTCTCAAAAAAGGATATCGTTTTTATAGCTTTGGAAAAGTAAATCCATTGTGAATGGAAACAGAGTGGAGGGGGTGCATTGTAAGTACAATTTTTGTTGTCAGACCAACCTGGGGTTTTTATATAATATTTGAAAATGTAAAAAATCCCTGCTCTGTGAGGCTGGGGTTGGGTCCCTGCATTGCCAGTGGCTCCCTGGTTAGACTCTGTCAGATTTTGCAGGGTGGGGTTAGATGACTTGATCCTTCTTCTCTGTTCACTGTCACATCCTATGGGTTTCCTGCTCCCATGACTATCACCCAGCAGTGCTTCCTCCCCGCACGGCTGTGATTCCTTCCAAGCTCCGGCCTTCTCCAGGATCTAGGTCCCAACCCCGTGGGGCTCCTCAGCTGAGTTTAGAGACACCAGCTCCAAACGCAGTACCTCCTCTCCTGAAGTCTGGGTCCCTTCCCTACTTACCTGGCCCTTCTCTGAGCTCAGAGATACCAGACCTGATATCTGAATTAAGGGCTCCTCCTCTATCAGTTTTGAAAATGTTAACAATTCCTGCCTCTTCTTTGTTCCCTCACCTGGGGGTGGTAGACACTTCCTACAAATGCTATCTTAGAGTTCTTTTCATCACTTTTCAGGCACCTAGTTAACAACTTTATACTTAGTTGACAATTCTTTATTGTATAATAAATTCTCTGTGTTAAAATACTTGGTGTGGTTTCTGTTTCCTACCTGTCCTGGACTGACAGTTTTTTGCTATTATTACCAATGCCACTGTAACTATTCAGTTCATGTTTGCAGTTGGTGCACAAGTAAATAAGTTTTATAAATCTAAGAGTTGCAGGGAAGGGATGTGAATGCTTACATTAGCAAGTAACATGTTTTCCAAAGTGGCCCATCCATTTACACTCCCACAAGCAGTATATGAGAGTTTCTGTGAATCCACAACTTCCTAACATTTGGTATTATCAATCTTCCTAATTTTTGTCAATATAATGGGTGCAGCGTGGTAATAGACTGATCTTAACTTTCATGATCCTGATTATAAACGTGGTTGTTAATCTGAACATTAATTCCAACACTGCCATTTGTTTACTTTTATATCTTACCTAAGTTATTCAGCCACTTTGGGCCTCAGTTACCTCATCTATTAAAGAGAGGGTAATAATCCTACTCACAGGATTATTGCACAGATTAAACAGGATAACGCATTTATATCACCTTGTACAGTACTTGTCACTGAAAAGGCCAATAGACGGCAGCTTATTATTATTGCTTTGTTATTATATAATGAGCTGTGAAACCGCAACTATTACAAGTGGACATGCTTGTAAGCTATCGTCATCTTGAGAGCTATCTTCCTGGGCATGCAAAGTAAAAATGACATTGGTCTCAAGTGCTCATTGCCAACCACTATCACCCTCTGCCTCTCCTCACCTCCCCTGACTAGCCCCAGAGACCAAGAACCCTTGACAACCTTCCCACTCCTAATCTAGGAAGATAGATCTAGAAGCTCTGAGCCTGGCCTTCTGGTGGGATATTTTATGTTCTCCATGACCCAACATCTGGAAGCCACATTCACTTTCTAATCCCAGGTCAGAGCAAGCTCAGATTGAGCCCAGATACTGAGGCCTAGGGTGGAAATGACATCCCCATTTAGAGGGATGGGCAGGAAGGCCCATAGAAGGTTGGGCAGGAAGGCATGGCCATCCAGGACAGCCAGCGAGCGCTAGAGGGAGCATGTGGATCAAGGGAGCATGTGAAAATCCAGGGTTTTCTCTGCTAAGGCAGCAAAAACAGGACTACATACCCACACTCAGCATCCAGGATAAGGGAGGAGGTGGGGTGAGGAACAGAAGTGGGAAAAAGATTGAGATCAGAAGCTAAAAATGTAGGCGCAAGAAGAACAGTTCAAGGTGTGAAATCTAGAGTGGGTCAGGGCAGGCAGGTCAGGACTTACTCTGTGACTGATGAGAAATTATCAGAAGCTCATCTTTCCATAGAGCTGCCCTCCAGTCCTGCTGTGACACCTCACAGGGCACATGTGTTGGGGTGTATATTGGTGTGCAAAAACTGCCTCAAACTTAAAACAATAATCACTTTATTATTGCAACAGCCATTCATCACTGTTGTAAATCATGTTTTCCATGCTTCTGGGCTCAGCTGAGAAGTCTTTGCTTTGGTTCTGCCCAGAGGTTGCAGCCTGATGGTAGCTGCAGCTCCATTCATCTCAAAGGTCTATTTGCTCACATGTTGGCACTTGGCAACTGCTGTTGCTTGGGACCTTAGCCGAGGCTGAGTTTCCTCATATCATTGTGACTGGGTTTGGGCTTTACTTTCTGGTCTTCTTTCTGCATCTTTTCAGTTCCACTCCCACTGCTAAAGATTTTACTCTCCTACTATTTCTGTAAGTCAAGTCCATAGAGGTAACCTGATTGGTCAGCTCAACTTTTGACACCAAGAAATATCAGAGGCTGTTGGCTTATGGTAGATTTATTTTCCCTTCCTCCTCTTCCTCCTCCTCTTCTTCTTTTTCATCATCATCAATTTATAAGGAATACAGTGTAATAACTCTAAGTTAGGACTTTGACACCAGGCTACCTGGGTTTGAATCTCAGGTCTGGTACTTATCAGTTCTGTGTCCTTAGGCAAATAACATAACTTCTATGGTTCAGTTTGCTCCTCTAGAAAGGGGAGAATAATAACAAAAATTTCTTCAAGGACTGTTGAGCAAATACAATGAGACAGCATGTAGCTGCTCATAAGAAGCGCTCAGTAAATCTTAGTGATTATTACTGATGATGACAGCTACCATTTTTAAAGTCAGGATAGTGTAATTATTGTAAATACAGCCTGGAACATCATTGCCTGTGTTCGGATCCCAGCTCTTTACTAGGACAAGTCATTCAACTCTCTGTGCCTCAGTTCCATCATCTGTAGAATAGAGATAATAGTATTACCTATTATCCTAGGGTTGTTGTGAGGAGTCAATGAGTTAATACAGGTAAAACAAAATACTGTCTGTCATCTAACAAGGAGTATCATGTAAGCTATTTATTATCATTATGAATCATCTGCCCTAACTTCTAGCACCATACAAAGCACAGTAAAGATTTTATTGAAATGAACCTATTCAATGCTTCTGCAAGGGTGATATTATATCTTCATTTTATGGATGAAGGAATTGAGATTGAGTAAATGGCAGTGATACCATTAAAACTCAGGTCTATCGGCTTGGCACCTGTGGCTCAAGTGGCTAAGGCATCAGCCA